TTTCATTGTTTGTGTTTTGTCTTAATTTCAAAATTCCCACCATATCCTTCCCTGTTCCCTTATTTCTAAGAACCACAGGTCTGCTTTCTGTTCCTATAAATAAGTTTGAATTTTCTGTAGTTGTATGTAAGTGGAATGATACATAATTTTTTGTAGGGGATGGGGTTTCTGGCTTTTACTCAGCATTGTTATTTTGAGATTCGTTTATGCTGTTGAATATATCAGTAGGTCATTTTATTGCTGAATAGTATTCCATTTTAAGGATCTATCACTATTTATTTATCTAATCATCTGTCAATAGACATTTGAGTTATTTTTGTACTTGGAGACATTTATGCAGTCTGTCTACACTTAGAATGGTCCACAGGATGAGAGTTGCTGGTAGCATTTGAACCAAGGAATATTTGTTTTAAGAGTAGCAGTTGTGTCTGATTTCCCATAGAGAAGGTCCAGATTATGCAAATTTTATTGTTTTTTATTGTACCATTACTTGAAGTATGATTCATTGGATATAACTTGGGAATCTGTGTTACATGCAAAATTAGACTTGGAAATTAAATTTACTTGGGTATGTGAATACATGTTAACTTAAAAGATATTTAGTTTTATTTTAGCATGCAATATTAACTCTCAGAGCTGGTTGCTATTAAAAATAATTTTATGTGATTTTTGGGATGTTTTGACATCTGGAAGAAAAAGTGTACTTATTAATTTCATCTCAATAATGCAAAATCATGTAGTTGAGCTGTTATTTGTACTCTTCCATATACTGATTACCACAAGTACAAATTGCCCTCATATAATCCTCCCCAATCAATTTTAGTTTTCAGTTAATAAAAAATAATACCTCTGTAAAGTCTCAGTACCCCAGAGAGTGGATACTGTGTACATCATTGTCTAACATAGTTTGCTTATCTAAAACTCTTGAGCTTGGTTTTGGTATTGCTTAGTTATCTGGATTTTTGGAAGTTGGCTGTTTACCAGGCATATATGACAATGATTATTTTCCATTGTGGGCTTTGTTTGTTTTTCGTCAGACATGCATATTTAAGTATGTTATGTTGGCACATTAGTTCTATGAAGATTAGCTAAGATAATGTAAGATCACAAGCTGTTTAGTTGAGCCAACAAACATACCAAAATAAGACTTATAAAGCAAGCATGAATTTTTGAATGTGACTATTTTAAAGGAAATAATGAAATTACTTATAGTAGCCCTGGATATATTCATTATGCCATTTGTTCTTGTTATGGTTAAGTTTTCACTTGCTCATTTTAATTTCCAGTGGCATGAGCAAGGGATTTATAATTCATTTTTGAGAAACTAAAGGAGGAAACTACCCAATGAATGTGAAAATTGTTGTTAAATCTCAGTTGTCCATTTTATTGATGCACATATTAGAGGTCCCTGCCATTCAACAGGCTTTTGGACTGCTGTGTTACGTGTAATCAGTGTGTACAAACTAAATGTTAAAATTATGCAAATCAAATGTAAATTACCCAGGTTAGACAAAATACAGTTTCTGAAGGAGAAAAAGACTTCAAAGCTAAATATAAGCAATATATATTTTTTGATTTTTGTACTTACTTGGTTTATACTACCTTTTCCTCTTCTGGAATAACAGTACATATAGGAATTGACTGAACATTATCAAGTTGCTATTAATGATAATATTAGTGCAAATACACACACACTTAATAAGTTTTTAGAGGAAAGCGTCTTTCCCATGTCTAATTTGACTGACCATTCTAATTAGTTAGCTAATTTTATTGTTGTTAAATAAAATTTTAAATATAGTAAGTCCATTATTAAACAAGTATGATTAAAATAGAGGACTGATTATAATTTGAGTCTTAAAAAAATAAATACCTTTGGATAAAGTAGCAGGCTTCAAGTGAAATTCAGTTTTGGTCTCCTTTACAGGAATAGCTATTCAGTCAGACAGAACAGAACCACTTACCACGTTTTGCAGTATCTCCTGAGGAAGTCAAAATCTGAGCCACCATGAAGACTGAATCTTGTCTTTCGTCTGTTTTATAAACTGTACTTTTATTCTAACCATGTGCAAGGTGGAGGTTATAGCATGGAAACTAAAATCTTAGTAAGTGTGACTTTTATATTGGCTGTTAAATAGTAGCCTTATAGTAAATTTGTTCTCTTAACAGAATTTCATGCTATAAATGGGGTGAAGACTTTGCAAGCAGGGGCATAATAATAGACTTGTGAAGTAAAAGGCTTAGCTTTTCAGGTCCAGGAAAAATCCCCAAGAAAGGGGGAAAAGCTTCTTTTACTATGCCTAGAATTTTTTTCACCTTTCTGGTTAAAAATAGGTGCAAAGATGGTATTTAGTTGAGAAGGGATTTAAGAAATTTTTTGAAGTGGACTTCAAAAAACTGGTTTTAGTGGCCAAAGTCTAAATTTAGGCTAGTAAAAAGAAAAAATTATTTGCTATGTAAGTTGCTTCATTTATAAATTAGGTATCATTATATAGTAAAGTCTTAATTATAGTATAATGCTAGTAAGCCCAGTGTAGAATCCTAGGAACCTTTTAAATAGTGATATGTTTATGTTTTTACTATGAATTGAATTTTGAGTGTATTTAAAATGTTGAATATTTTGAGTATGAATATTCAAATTATTTTGGAGTGAGTATGCTAGTAGTTATCTCAGGGATGTTCTGTTGATTTGATTGTCCTAAGTATAGGTGATGTGCAGTTTTAATTTTTTGTGCTCCAGAAAGAACTAGATTTTGAGAATATAGACTATCAAGAGACTTTATTTCACAGTGTTACTTTGTTAATTGTAAGGATTACTCCTCAGCATCTTTATTTGCTACCAGTGCTTATTAATAGCAGTGGATAATTAGCCCTTTAAACTGCTTTTTCTCCCTTAACAAGACTGATAGAATTGACACTGTTTGATCTTATGAATTCTTTAGTGAATCAAACATTATGATACTATACCTAGATAGCATAATAATTTATGCTGTTCATAATTTAAGAATGATTATGTTTAAGATAACCTGGCTTATGTTCTTTCCCTTCCCTTTTAACCATTTGGTTACTTTTCTAAATTGATGGCGATGACCTGGCTGAAATTAAACATTTCCATTAGTGGCTTCCCTAGTTTAACCTCCTTCCCTCTTAAAATAAACGTTCCTATCATTTTTGCATTCCAAAGTACAATTTTATTAAATCTTGAGGTCTAAGATTTTTCTTTAGGAACTTATCTCTGGTGTCTCTGGAAATTAAAAAAAAAAAAAGTTACATGCATGTTTTGAGAAATTTGTATTTTGTAAGTTGAAGGGCACTTTTATTTTCGGTGCATGTTTTCAGAGGTGGGATCACGTAGTTATTGTTTTAATAACCATGTCCTAATTATTTATAGCTTCCTGCCTGACATAACTCACTTCAAGAAGTGCACAATGTCAGAACGTGGACTTAAATGGGCTTGTGAATATTGTACGTATGAAAACTGGCCATCTGCAATCAAGTGTACTATGTGTCGTGCCCAAAGACCTAGTGGAACAATTATTACAGAGGATCCATTTAAAAGTGGGTCAAGTGATGTTGGCAGAGATTGGGACCCTTCCAGCACTGAAGGAGGAAGTAGTCCTTTGATATGTCCAGACTCAAGTGCAAGACCAAGGGTTAAGTCCTCATACAGCATGGAAAATGCAAATAAATGGTCATGCCACATGTGCACGTATTTGAACTGGCCAAGAGCAATCAGATGTACCCAGTGCTTATCCCAGCGTAGGACCAGGAGTCCCACAGAATCTCCTCAATCCTCAGGATCTGGCTCAAGACCAGTTGCTTTTTCTGTTGATCCTTGCGAGGAATACAATGATAGAAACAAACTGAACACAAGGACCCAGCACTGGACTTGTTCTATTTGCACATATGAAAACTGGGCCAAGGCTAAAAAATGTGTTGTTTGCGATCATCCCAGACCTAATAATATTGAAGCAATAGAGTTGGCAGAGACTGATGAGGCTTCTTCAATAATAAATGAGCAAGACAGAGGTCGATGGAGGGGAAGCTGCAGCAGTGGTAATAGCCAAAGAAGATCGCCTCCTGCTATGAAACGGGACTCTGAAGTGAAAATGGATTTTCAGAGGATTGAATTGGCTGGTGCTGTTGGCAGCAAGGAGGAACTCGAAGTGGATTTCAAAAAACTAAAGCAAATTAAAAACAGGATGAAAAAGACTGATTGGCTGTTCCTTAATGCTTGTGTGGGTAAGTTTCTGCATTTTTTTGAATGAGATGGGAAAAGATAGTAAAAATAATATGAAAGATATAAGTAGGTCAGTATTTAGTATTTAGTTCTTTCAGTGTGATAGTTGTGCTCCCAGTATGCATGTATAAGATCTCTGTATTTGTGATCTAGTCATAACTGTCCTAAATAGCCTCCATTTCATTGTGTATGTGTCTCTCCATCATTAGGGGGAACAACATTTTAAGTTAAAGCAGTGTTTTTACCCATCAGTAGTAAAATACATACCTGGAGTTTAAAAACTGCTGCTCTGTTTATTGTAACAAGACATGTCTGAAGAACACCAGCTGCTGCTTCAGTGTTTGGCCAGTGTGAGCATCTTATGATGATAGAAGCTTTAGTCAGATGTTAAAAATATCACAAAAATGTGTGACTCCAAGAAGTTGAACACATACATTATTGACCTCGAAAACACTGATGTTAACATGAATGACATGTAGTAAATATTTGCAAACTTTGTGCTAAACTGATTTCATTTAACCATTTGATTTTATGGTTCAAATTATGATTCTTGTGTTTTGTGGTTTTAGTGCTTCCTAAGGAAATTCTAGATACTAGTTCCAGTTACTGGCTCAGAGCTGTTAAATGACAGAGAGACATGTTGCGAGAGTAGGGTTTTCTCCAGTTGTTGACCTTGTGAGTTAATTATTTGTTAGGTTTTCCACAAAAGTGTTTATTTGACTCTTACGTATTTTTCTGTTTCTTTTTTTTTTTAGTGGGTTAGCTATTTAAATTTTATGATTAAAATTATTTGGATGGGGTGCTTACTTTGACATTCAGTTCTGTAAAGGAAATTTTGAGTGACTACTGAAGTTAACTATGCTTGGAACAGGTTAAGCCTTAAACATGGCTTAGCTATGTGCATGTGTATATTACACACACACACACACACACACGTGTATGTGTAGATATTTCTTTCCCCCGTTCTGATTTCTCCCTGACTATGGCTCCAAGAATATGGAAGACATAACTGTATAAACCTGTTAAGTCTTAAGAGTAGATTTCAAGAAATCTGAGTTTTTTATTTTCGTCTTGTCTTGGCAAAAAGAATATTCCAGCAGATGAGCCCTTCTGACCACAAAGCACAGTGGGCATTTGGTAATGGATGCCTCCAGTTTTCTCCTATCCTGAGGGCTAGGGATGAAAGCACACTGATTCATCTTCAGATGAAATGTTGTCTCATTTCATCCCATTGACTTTTTTTTCTCCCCAAATTGGGGTAGCACATATACGTGCTACATGGCACAGTATTAGTGTCTTTTTAAAAATTTTTAAACAGGAAATTCAAAAGGGTTTTATTATTAATTTTTTAATGGAGGTCAAAGTCACATACAATTCACTATTTTGGAAGTGAACAGTTTAGTGGCACTTAGTGTATTCACAGCCTAGTGCAGCCACTACTACCGTCTAGTTCTGAAACATTTTTCATCCCCCAAAAGGAAACTCTGACCCCACTTAAACAGTTACTCCACTTCCCTTCCTTCCCCGAGTCTCTGGTAATCACCAGTCTGCTTTCTGTCCCTATGGACTTACCT